TTACAGTGCCATGGGCAGTGTGAGGATGGCAGCTCTCACATCCTTACCACACCCAGGCATTAGGGAGCAGTGGCTTGGCATCTTGGTCTTAATCTTTCATTCCCTCATGCTGTTGAAAACCTGTCCTGGGCTGACTGCCCTCCATATCTATTCTTTGGTAAAGAGTCTATTAGAATATTTGCTATTTTATTTGTTTTGTTATATTTCATTTCTAGATTGAGAGGTCCTTTTATATTCTGGATACCAGTCCCTTATCAAATCTCAGCTTTTCATCCTGTTAATTGTCTTAAATTTGATGAAGTCCAATTTACCATTTTTTTTCCATTATGGGTCATAAAGACTTTCTCCTAGAAATTTTATAATTATAGGTTTTACATTAAGGTTTATGATCCATTTAGAGTTATGTGTAGTGTAAGCTCTGAATTGGATTTTTTTTTCACGTGTGGAAATTCAGTTGTTCCTACACCATTGAAAAGATGGTCCTTTTTCTACTGTGTTGCCCTTACACCTGAGTGAAAAATCAGCTGTCTACATAAGTGGGAGTCCTCGCACTGGTACTTTATATTCTGGTCCCTTTATCTATTTAACTATCTTTATGCCCTGTAGCTTTAAAATTAGTCTTGAAATCAAATAATGTGAATTCTTCAACACTGTCCTTTTCAAAGTTATTTTAAATATCCTGGGTTCTTTCCATTTCTATTTCAATATTAGAATCAATTTATCTACTTCTACTAAAAAGCTATTCACATTGGCCAAATTATATTTTTATATTGTGTGTGTGTGTATAAACATGTAACAACAAATCCTATCATTTATGTACAACTATAATGCACTGATAAAAAATGTGGAAAAAATGTCTTTTGAGATTAAGTTGAATTTATAGGTAATTCTGGAGAGAAATGAAATCTTATCATTGTTGAGTTTTCCAATCCACGGACAAAGTGTCTCTCTCCATTTGAACTGGGACGTCTTCAATTTCTTTCACAATATTATGTCATTTTTATTGTACAATCTTGCATACCTCTGTCAGGCTCATCTAAGTATTTCTTTTTTATATTATTGCAAATGGCATTATTTTTATTTCAAACTATAATCCTTTGTTGTTAGCATACAGAAGTACCAATGATTTTTATATATTAAATGTGTGTCCTTCTCTTACTTACTAAGTTCTAGTGGCCTTTTGGTAGATTTTCTTAAGATTTTCTCTATAGATGATTATGTCAACTGTAAGTAGTTTCATTCTTCCATTCCAGTATGGATGCCTTTTATTTCTTTTTCTTGTCTTATTGTTTTGGCTAGGACCACCAAACTATGTTGAACAGAGTAGTAAGAATGCACATTTTTATCTTGTTCCTGATATTAGGACATCAAGTATTAGTCTTTTGCTTGTAGTAAGATATTAGTTGTAGATTTTGGGGGTGGTAAAGGAAGGTTGTTTTCTATTGCTATTTTGCTGTGAGTTTTTTTTTTTTTAAGTTATGGATTGATGTTGCCATTTGACAACTGTCTTTCCTGTATCTACTGAGATAATCATGTGGTTTTTCTTTTTTAGCTTGTTAATATATTGAACTACATTGACTAACTTCTGAGCATTAAACTAACCTTGCACCTTTGAGATAATCCTACTTGGCGATGATATATTATCCTTTATATGCATTGCATTGTTGGATTAGTTTTAAAATATTTTATTTGGAATTTTTGAATTTAAGTTCATAAGTTTATAATCATAAAATGAACTTCTTATTTTTGGTAATATTTTTTCCTGAAATTTACTTTCCCTGTTATTACTATAGCCACTCCGGCTTTCTTTATTACTTAGAGTTAGCACAGGGGAGGTTTCTATTTTTTTCCTTTTAACCTATCTCTGCTTTTATATTTAAAGTGCTCTCCTTCTCCCCATCCCCTCCTTCTTTTTTTTTTTGCGGGACTGGGGATTGAACCCATAAAGTGTGATTCTTATACACACTCCCTCCTTGCCTGCAGTCTCAGATTCCACAGTTTCAGTTATTCAAGGTCAACTGAGGTCCGACAATATTAAATGGAAAATTCCAGAAATAAATAATTCATGATTCTTAAATAACATTTATTATAGTACGGTTGTGGCTTTCCCACTTTGTTATTCATCTCTTACCATGCCTAATTTATAAATTAAACTCCATCACAGCCGTGTATGTATGGGGGAAAGCAGAGTACATAGAGCTGGCTGCTATCTGCAGTTCCAGGTGTCCACCGGCCATCTGGGAGCATAGCCCTGTGGGTAAGGGAGGACTGCTGTGTATAGCTGAGTCTTGCTTATTTTATCCAATGTGACAATCTGCCACTTACTAGAAGTCATTAGACTATTTATATTTAACGTGACTATTGATACAGTCAGGTTTGAGTCTCTTATTTGCTTTCTATTTGCTCCATCTGTGTCTTTTGTCCCTTCTTATTTTGAGCAAACTGAGTATATTCTGATTCAAATATTTCCTTTGCATGCTTATTAACTCTGCTTGCTTTGCTATTTTAGGGTTTAACATGTACATCTTGAACTTATCAGCCTACCTTTAAGTAATATTATATCACTTTATGTACATAGTACATTTCCATTCTACGCCCCCAGCCTGTTCACTATGATTGATATATATTCTACATCTATATATGTTATAAACCCCACAGCATATTATAATTTTTGCTTAAATTGTCAATTACATTTTAAGGAAATTTAAATAAGAAAAAAATCTTACATGATACCATATGATAACCCATGTGTTGTGTCCTGCATTCCCTTTATAGGTCAATATTTCCATTTGGTATTATTTTCCTTCTTGCCTGAAGATTTTTTTTTTCTTTTGTAGTGCAAGTTTTCTGGTGGTGAGTTCTTCCATCTTTTGTAAATGTAATAATATCTTTTTCTGTTTTTGAAAGACATTTTTGCTGGATTTAGAATGGATATAGAATTTTAGATGGATAGTTTTTCTTTCAGTTCTGTAATGATGTAAATTCACTAAATTCTTTTTTTAGTCAATTCAGTAGCAAGAAATCTGCTGTCATCCTTATGTTTGTCCTCTTGTGAATACTTTTAAGATTCTGTCTTATTCCTGGTTTTGAGAAATTTGATTTCCACATGCTTTGCTGTTCTCTTCTTTATGTTTCCTGTCCTTGGGGTTTGATGAGCTACTCGGATCTGTGGGATGTTTTTGTCAAATCTGGAAAAATTTTTCCTTCATTATTTTTTCAAATATCTTTTTCCACTCTCTCTTTTTTTCCTTTTGGGTTTCCTGACAAGTGTATAAAGCTGCTTGAAGTTACCTCATGTATCACTGATATACTTTCTTTCTGTATTAAAATTCTTTTTCTCTCTGTATTCCCCTTTGGGTAGCTCCTTTTGTTCACGTATCTGTTCTTCTACAGTGTCTAATCTGTCGTTGCTCCTATCTAGTGTATTTTTCTTCTCACAAATTATATTCTTCACCTATAGAAGCTTGATTTGGGTCCTTTTTATGCAGTCCGTGTCTCAACTTAACTTGTGAACATATGGCACATAAGTGTTTTGATCTCTTTGCTGATTCTAACATCTGAGACCTCCCTTGTCAGTGCTGGTTAGGTTTCCATTGATTGATTTTTCTCCTCATTATGTGTGGATACAAATTTAAACTTTTTGTCACAGAATACCAAATTGTCCTTCAAAAATGTCTCCTTATTTATTCTATCACTAGCAGTGCCTGAGTGTGGCTGTTTTCCCCCGGTCCTGCTAGCACCAAATCCTGTCAGTCTTTGATATGAGCCAGTCCCATAGGCTAAAACTATTGACAGACACAACCAATGTCCACAGGCACCAACTATCAGCCCAGTGACAGACAGTGGCAATTCTATGGTGGCCAGGCAGCCAGGGTAGCTGCCCTCATGGTGCCTTGAGGTATTGACCATAGTTTTATTTGTGTTTTCATTGATTACTAGTGACTTAGCACATCTGTTCTCAAGCTTATTGGTATAAACATTCTTCTTTGGGACACTGCCTACTAATGTCCACTGACCAGTTTCAATTGTATTGCTTGGATTTTTTAAAACTCCCTTATTTGAGCTATTTATTTACTAAGAATAGAGATCCACTTTCACTTTTTCAATAATAAAAATGTTTTTTTTTTTTTTGTAAACAAAGCTATTTTCTTTACAATATATACTTGTACATGATTTCTTTCAAGAAATGATTTACATGTTACTCAAATACTCTTTCATATATTAAAGGTAAATAGGAATTGATTCTGGAATAAAAACAATGCCCTTAAAGGGAAAAGTTTTTGAACAAAGCAATAACACAAAACATTTATATACATAAACCTACATAAATCCATAATATGTAAATATTTTCATATCTATCTGATATCAATGTAAAAAAGACATAATCTTTAGAAATAATCAAGCAGACTCTAAATGCCATTTTATTCCCTTAATAATGAAATGGAAAGTCAAGGAGATGAAACGTTCCCAGATTATATATTTCCAGCTGATTAAATATTTCTTTCAATGTCATGCCATCTGTATTGAAAATACCCTACAGACAAGATTGTTAATTTGCGATAGTCTAAGATCTATTCTTCAAAAGGAGAAAATGTCACAGTCTTCATTAGGGAGCTTCTGCCTTCCCACTGAAGAGTGGTAAGAGCCTTCAGAGGCGCACGCTGCCTATTCACCGGGCTGTGGAGGTGCGTGTTGGGAGCGCTGGGAAGAAGCCCCTGATAGAGGCACAGGTCCCATAAAGGGCCTGGTGTCTTTTTAGCATCAAGGACAATGTGAGGCAGGCAGATAGGAGAGCGACCCCATCCGGGGACAAGACGTGCACACGTGTCACAGGCTAAGGGATGCCAGCCCTCTGCGTGTGATGGAGGGAATGCACGCCACAGTTATGTGGTGAGTGAATCCGCTGAGCACTTCCACTGAGGGTGACGACAGCGACCCGCAAAGTCCCCGGGGCTTAACCCACCCACCAGTTCTGTGGGACTCAGGGCCCCCTCACCAACCTGTTTGGTGCAGATGGTCTCTGGCCACCTCGAATAAGCGCAGGTGCATGTGGGTGATGGGGTTGAAGGAGCCGCAGGCCAGGAGCACCACAGGGATTCGGCTCTTCATCTTGTCAGGCGTGTCTGCACCCACTGCAGTGGCCACCCTGCTTTCCTGGAGACAAAAACTCACATCAGGGAGTTGGCACCAAGACAAAAGTCCAGGCCAGTGTTTCTAACCCATCGCTTGTAGGAGGACTGCAGAAGCAATCAGATCAGTAGCATTTAGGGACAGCTCACATGGGCCAGGAACTAGGGCAAGTGTTATGTCAAGGTGCACATCTTCTGCCCAGTCCTTTGCATAACTCCGAGTGGTCACTCACATGACCTTAGAAGCTGCCGGGCCAGAACTGGAACCCAGGCAGCCTGACTTGAGAGCCCACACTCTGCCCTTCACCCATATGCCCTTCCTGGGCGCTGTGGGTCACCTTGAGGACAAGAGGAAGTCTACAAGGCTCCCAAATGTCAACTCTGATAGTCCAAAAGGAACTCAGCAGGTCTCATAGTGGACAGACACTTTCGAGAAACTTTATTTTGAAATTATTTCAAACGTAACGAAATTTGCCCAAGTTCCCCAGTGTTAACATTTTACCACACTTGCTTGATCATTCATTCTTACATACACTCACACACTCACACTTACACACACACACACACACCCCTAATCTGTAAATATCTATAGTAACTTTTCCCTGAAATTCTTGAGGGTCATTTGTAGAAATAATACCCCTTTACCTTCAAGTTCTTCAGCATATGTTTTCTAAGGAGGAAGACATTTTCTTACATAACTGCAGAACAATGATTGAAATCAGGAAATGCTCAGGGCAGCAGGACTACTGTCTAATCTACAGACCTTCTGATTTCACCTACTGTCTTTCATCTGGGACGAGAGCACTAGAGAGCCAGCTCTCCCTCTGTTCTCCTACTCTTAGCACCAGGGTGAGGTTAGAGGAAGGAAGGAAGCCGCCTGGCCCAGGGCCCTGCCTCTCGGGCACCCTGTGAGCTGGAGGGGGGAGTGAAGGGCTCCCCGGGAAGTAGGCCTTGGCCTCACTCCTGCTCTGATACTCAGTGGCTGGGAGACCTGGGCAGAGCACAGCCCTCTCTGAAACTCAGTTTCTTCATCTGTTAGATGGAGTCATGGTTTGGATGTGAGGTGTCGCCCAAAAACTCACATGTGAGATAATGCCAGAAGGTTAGGGGAGGAAATGATTGGGTTGTAAGAGTCTTAACCCAGTCAGGGAATTAATCCCCTGATAGGGATTAACTGGATGGTAACTGAAGTGGTGGGGTATGGCTGGGGGAGGTGGAATTGGGACATGGCTTTGGGTATATATTTGTATCTGGGAGGTGGAGTCTCTCTGCTTCCTGATCACTGTGATGTGAGCCGCTTCCCTCTGCCACCTCTCCCACCACAGCGTTCAGCCTCACCTGGAGCCCTGAGGAGTGGAGCCGGCCGTCTATGGACTGAGACCGCTGAAACCGTGAAATAAACCGTCAAATAAACTCTCCCTCCTCTACAGTTGTGCTGGTCGGGTCCATTAGTCACAGCTGTGAAAAAGCTGACACAGCTGGGGACAATATCACTCTGCCCCTGACAAGGGACGGGGGAAGGCAAGGGAGAACCAGTGCACCTGTGGTGAGCAGCTCAGGGTGGTCCTGATGCTCCCCACCTCCTGGTGTTCACTTGTCGCCCCCTCCCCTCCACCCTGGGTGGGTCTGGTGACTTCCTTCTAATGAACAGAGAGTGGCAAATGCATAGGGACGTCCTGCCTGAGGGAGGGTCACAAAGTCCTGGCTTCCCTCGTACTCACCTGTTAGAGTCTGTAAACAAGTCAAAATAACACCTGGCATTTTGCCAGGGGAATGTTAGAGTTCATAAACAAGTCTGGATGGTGCCTGGCAAAACGCCAGAGGGAGTGGTTTGAGAAGTAACAAAAGCGAGCCATTAAGTGTGGAGATTTCTTATTGGTTGACTGATGTATCCAGTTTATGCTAATTAGATAAGCTCTGTGGAATGTATAAATACTGCTCCTGTCCTGCAATAAACGGCTTCCACTCCTGCTGTATCAACGTGCACAAGTTATTCGTCACCCCCCGGTTATTTTGCTGCAGCCAGCCGGACTGCAGCACTCACCTCTCTAGCTCACTCTGAGGGACCTGGCTGCCAGGTGCCAGATGCCCCATGAAGAGGTCCACGGGGCTAGAAACCCAGGGAGACCTCTGGTGGCCTAAGCCAGGAGGAATCAAAATGACCAGCGGCTCTGTGTGGAGGTGGATCTTTGATGGTCAAGTTTTCAGGTGAGACTGCTGCCCTGTGGACACCTGGTTCCAGGTCGGTAAGACCCTGAGCCAGAAGACCGGAGACCCACAGGGACTTGAGTGAAGCAGCAGCCAAAAATAAATAAATAAGCGAGTGGCAGGAAGACCAGCAGAGTAGCCGGGGAGGGGGGAGAACGGGGGAGGAAGGCGGTGAGGGGGAGGGGGGGGACGGGGGGGGGGGGCGCCGTGGACTGAAATGGAGTAAATCAAATTCTGTGCATGCATGAATATGTCAAAATGAACCCAGCGATTATGTATAATTATACTAGTCTAATAAAAAAGCTGAGATGATAAATCAAAATAAACAAATAAGCGTGCTGTTCCAAGCTGCCTATTTTGGGGTGATCTGTCATGCAGCCACAGAGGACGCGGTGGCCAGCAGATGGGAAGCATCCGGGCCTCTCTTATCCCTCCAGCCACCGGACTTTGGCTATAAGCATGCCGTTCTGGGGAAACCTGGAGAATTCTCGGTGGCTGGGAACTGGGATCCTCTTGACCTAAGGAATTGTTTTTTTATTTTGAATTTACTAGTGAATTATGGTCAACAGTGGGGCTCATTTTGACATATTCATAAGCAACCCAAACATAATTGATTCCATTTTAATCCCTAGCACTTCCTCTCTCCATGCCCTGGTCCCCTTCCTCTACTCCACTGGTCATCCTTCTATTTATTTATTATTTTTGGTGCAATTAGGGTTAATTGGAATGCACTGTGATGTATTCACACATGCACCCCACAGAACTTGGTCAGCTTCACTCCCCGTTCTTTCCCTGCCCATGCCTCTCTGGGTCCCCTGCTTCTATTCTATTCATCTCCCTTCTGTTTTTGCAAGATCCTCTTTTATAATGAAAGGAATAGGTTTTAATCTGGGTGCGTGGTGGACTTTTCCAGGCTCGTATCCACTGCTGCTTGCTTGCTGTTAACAGACCAGCAACAAAGGACTACCTGTCGTGGTTTCTTTGTGAGCTCCTCATGGCCACCTGCTTTAAGCTGCCTTGAATGCTCTTTTATTTTCCTCCCAACCAGAACACCCCAGCACACCCCCATCTCTTGACTCACTGCAGATGATCACATTATTTGTGACTTCAATCACTAGTATTGACCACCTGCTAGGTGCTAGTATCAGAGATGCATTTGGCTTGAAGAACCCAAAGCCTAACCTCAGTGGCTTGAGCAAAGAGAGGTCCATTTGTTTCTCATGTGATAATAAGTCTGGAAGTAGACAGCTGATGGCATCGGATCATGGTCTCAATAATGACCTGCAGTTAGTTCTCTTGCTTCTTCCTCCTGGTCACAAGATCACTCCTGCTGCTATAGCCACTGTGACCTCAATCAAGGCAAGCCACAGATCGAGGTGTTTCAGCCAGCTTTTCTGCTGCTGTGACCAAAATACTTGACAAGAACAACTTTAGAGGAACAAAAGTTTATTTGGGGGCTCACAGTTTCAGAGGTCTCAGTCCATAGATGGCTGACTCCATAGCTTGGGGCCTAAGGTGAGGCAGAACATCATGGCAGAAAAGCAGCTCAGGACATGGCACCAGGAAGCAGAGAGTGTTCCTCTCACCATGGACAAAACAGAAACCCAAAGGGCATGTCCCCAATGATCCAACTCCTCCAGCCACACCCTCCCTGCTTACAGCTACCACCTAGTTAATCTCTATCAGGGGATTAATGCACTGATTAAGACTCTTGTGACCTAATCATTTCACCTCTAAACTTTCTTGCATTGGCTCACACATGAGCTTTTGGGGGGACACCTGATATCAAGACCATAACAAGGAGTTGTACTAGACAGTTGTCCCTCTTAATCCGAACATAAGTGCTTTTGAGAACCACCTGTAGATTCTTCTTATTGGCTAGAACTAGGTCACATGGCCTCTCTAGCCACAAGCGGGGGCTAGACAGGCATGTGTTTAGCCTCACAGCCTCTTCAGCAGGAAGCAGCAAGAAAGGGAAGCTGGGAATTGGGTTAGCTGGTCTACAGTGGCCACCATAGAGCTCAGGATGTGACTGTGCTCAGAGCGCAGAGGCTGCTGAGACGGCTTGGGTCAGCTCGTCTCTGACTTCCCTTTAGTGAATCACATGCCACAATCTAGAAGGCACCTGCCCACGTGCTTCCTGTCCACCTGAGAGCAAGCCCCGTGCGGGCAGGAGGCTCTTTCCTTTGTCTCTGGATCTCAGCTCTGAGCACAGAGCATGGCAGAGTAGGGCTCAGTGGAGTCAGAAACAGCACTAGCTGGCTGCACAGGGCACCCAGGTCCTGGTACCTTCAATCACTAGGTAATGACCCTGAATACTTCCCAGTGTACAGAAAGGTTGTCCTGCATGTATTCGAAGCTACAGTGTGAAGTTGAACAGCTCTGAGCCAGGGGTAGTGCTGCCTCCCCACGCTCCCTCTGAGGTTGAGGAACACCAGCTCCTGCAGGCAAAGACAGGGGTCTACAAGCTGCCACTGGCTTCTTCCTGCAAGGTGGAGTGGTTTCATGCTATATTATTTGCAAGGTGCACTGAGTTATTCACAAGGACAGCCTCGTGGAAACGGGTACTTAAGGAGATAGCTGTTTCTCACAACTACTTTGAAGCCTCTCAAAATTCTAATTCATTTTGACAAAATATAAAATTTGGAGCCATTAAAACATGTAACTGCAGCATCTCAGGTAGCCTGGGGTTTTGATTCATTTTCCAAAGTTTCCAGAAATTGCAACTTAGAACATTTATTTAAATGGCAGCATCAATGGCAATGGGTGTGTTGTTGAGAAGAATGGATGAGCCTCTTTGCTTGTTTGCCCTGCCGG